AAAAAAGGATTGATTCTATTGTTCAAATTGCAAATAAAGAACGTCAAAATGTTTATAATGATATTGATTCATTAATTTTAAATAAAGATCGATTTTCGCTTAATAATTTGTTAAATTTTACACCAAATAATTGGTTAGCTAATCATAACCCAGTTATCGTTAACTTTATTGAAGTTCTCACCTGTAATAATGAAAGTAGTAATAACAATTCTACTATAAAAGAAAAGCTCTTCAAAAAAGTAATCGCGGTTGATGCAATTTATGGATCAAGACATAAAAACTATGTCTCTGAAATAAATCTAACCCTATTAGCAATTAAGTACTCATTGGCACGGTCCAAAATGATTGTCGATATTGACAATCACGTTATTAGTTCTGGAAGTTATGTAAAATTTATTAACTAGTTAGAGTCCCTTGCAATTGAACAAGAACCTATGCCTGAAGGGCTTTTATTTCTAGCCTTCGATAATGAACAACAGGGCCAATATAATTATCTTGATCGAGGGTATAATACTGTAATTTATCATACAGTTACAAGTTTTGTTGCATTTAATATAGATAAAAAAAATTTGGTTCAATTTACAACAAATCCGTGGCATTATAATTTATTAAATAACCTTTAATATAAAGAATTATATTATCTTACACCAAAAATGAGAACAGAATGTGAATCGGAATTAAATGCATATTTGTTGCCAATTTTAAACGAACTCATTAATGAAAAAAGAAACGAATCGAATACAATTGATACAATAATAAAAAATCAAAAAGGCGTTGGCGGTCACTCAAAATTGTGTAAAAAGTGTAATACAACAAACATCGATAATAGAAAATGTACTTGTCCTAACTGCAATGAAAAGTTGGATACATTAGCTGTATTACGAGCAGAATCAACTAATGAGTCTGCTCAAATTAGTAATACGACCTCCCAATTAAAACCTATCATAATAAAATCTAATACCTTTACTCACGAACAAAAAACTTTACCCTTTGAACGTATTAACATTACACAAAAACTTGATCCCGATCAAAATGTCGTTGTTCCAGAAATATATGTGCCGGACCTATTAGGACTAAACCCTAATTCGATAAACAATGTTAAAAAGTTTTAGAGCACATACAAAACATCACAAAAATAAACAACGATGGGTAAAAATGGTTACCTGTTATTTGTGATGGAGTTCCTTATAATCTTGTTCAAAAAATAAAAAAGGATTTTCCTTGGTTAATCCTAATTCCTGGAGCCCTACACGAAGAAATGAACATGCTTAAAGCATTTGTAGAACTAAATTGGTTTTTATTATTGTCATATTATTATTTTTTTTTTATATTCTCTCTAATCTAAATATTCTCGTTTAGGGCTATCGATATCAAACAATTTGCTATTCGTCAAGGATATAGAACAAAAAATCAGCTCGGGTTTTTTAAAAAATATACAGACCATCATAAATCGTGGGACTCAATTTGCGATATATACAGACATGCTATGACGTGTGAATTGCTATGGCTATATGTGGTTGAAGCTGAAAACCTCTCGGTCGACGACTATTTAGATTGGGCAAAAAAACAAGATGATTGCATTTATAAATTAAAATTTGAACAGGTAAAACTTTAATTCAAATTACAGAATTATTGTAATTTAAAAATTCATAACTAAATAATTAAATAATATTATAGACGTTTGTCTATCTTCAGGCAATAGTCAACTTTCGTACAGGAGTGAGGAATAACAGACCATCATTAAGAAATGCTGCTAGACGTATATTTGCTTCAATTTGGTCTGGTTGTAGATACCCTATATATCGCTATATTGAGGTTGATTATGAAGGGCAATTATTACGATTATATCCTGAAATCAGAAAGATTATAGAATTATACTCTGTTATTTCACAGTCAGGCTATTGTAATCAACATCAAGGCCTTGATGCTATTCTTAAAAAAATTAATAAATATTTAAAGGCCTTAATTCTGTCTGTACACTCATAGCGACATTGGAATATAGCAGCTCGAAACTGCACAAAATTTATAAAGGTTAGTAAATTTATTTTTGAGAAATTAAAATCAAAATTTTATACATAAATACTTATCATAAACAATAAATTAGCTGTGTTACATATTATTTGACATGATTGGACATACAGAAAGTGAATCTTCAGGAGGCCGGACACGTCCAGACTATACTTCAGAATCACAGCAATTTAGAGTTCAGTTGAGGAAAACCGGATTTTTAAATCCTCAAAATGATAATCGCAAATTTAAGAGTCTTGAAGGGAATATTTGCTTAGTGAACAATTAAAAAAGTTTAGTGATTTGGTATGTGAAAGGCGAATAGCATTTATTAAGGAAACCTTTGAAAATAACAAGCCAAGCTTACCATGGCCAATATCTGTTATTAATAAGAAGAAGAGGCAGCTATGAGTGAAGAAAAGATGTCAAAAGCAGAACTTTTGGCAACTATAAATTCATTACTAGCTTCTATTAATATTTCAGATCGCTCCAAGTATCGTGGTTTATGGCAGAAAAATTGTAATCAATTGCGAGAGATCTTACAAAGTATTAGAGACCTGCAAGATAATCAGAAAGAACCTGAGGATGAATCAGAATCAGAAACAGAAAATTAAATAAACTATTTTAATAAATAATGATACTGATTGAAATTTTGTACTCTATTTCAAAAATGTACTTTGTCTATATGTTGTAAAACAGTCATAGATCTAATTCGTGATCATGTAGCCAACCTTAAAATTTCAATTGATACTGTAAGATCGTTCATTTTAGTGTTCTCAAATCCTGTGATACAATTAGGTGCTGAGAATATTGTTCTGATGATACAAAGCTTGTTCAGAACATTACCCAGCCTGATCTGACTAACAATTTTGTCGCCTTATACCTAATGATTTCAATGTGTAATCAGAGCACCCGGCTAATACTATAATAAAAAGAGTAATAAATATTTTTATTATTTAATTTAAAAAAAAATAAAAAATCGAAAACTTATCTTTTGTACAGTACAGTTCTGCATTGTAAAGCTGTTAAGTCTAAGTTAAAAATCGATATTTATAAGATTAGCGATGATTGGGTCGATTACATGTGATTCAAAAATTTCTAGAACATTTCAAAATGAGGATCATTCCCTAATTTAGAAATACCAAATATAGAAATTTCCCAAACTGTATTGTTGTGGCCAAGAAAACTCAAGACTCTGTAACTGTGGTTATACCAATTCATCGAAACTGGAAAATCCTAGGCATTTGTGTGATATATGAGTTACACAAATAGGTCTTTAAATCACAAAAAGCTACAAAGCCGATATAGCGTAGAGTACTCGCTTGGCAAGTCTCAAATAGAGAGGTAGTACGGATCTTTAACAATACTACGTAAAGGATTATCATTGGAAGAACTGACAAAACTGAATGGGACTAAAGTATTTGGCAAAGCACTCTACCAACTAGGCTATCAAAGGAGTAACCAAAAAAAAGAACTTAACCATGGGGACCAGAGGTAGGTTACAACTCTTTTAAGCTATTTGGATTAGTAGTTTGAGATAGTCAGGAATACTGTTGATGGTCTGTAATGTGTGTATCAGGGTTTGGGTGAACTTTATAAGGGTAGAAATAGGTTGTGTAGTGGCAATCAGACTATAGTACCTAATATAAAAACTGGAATGCAAATAATAAGCCTAGGCTATGCATATCAACTGAAGACTAGATCAGCTAGATTGTGGGTACGGAAGGCTCTAGCAGGTTTGCCTCAAAGATAAAGGGTTCTTGAAGATAAAGAGTCTGCTTTAAAGTTCTAAGTTGGTATCTGAAACTAAGAATTCGCATTAGATTCTTGCTCGGTTAACAATATAATCATATAGATGCAGAGGGTTTAAATAGATAACCCTCTAGTCAGGTTGTAGATATGACATCTAGTGTAGAACTTAGTAATAAGCAGACTATTTAAATAGACGATTAAAGTTGCACATTATATTGTAAAAATTATAACTATAATTAAATAAAGATACACGACAAAGAGATCGCCTTAATATCAAAAAAAAATATATATTCTCTAATATACTTTATTAAGATGTGGTCCCAAAAGTAGCATTTAGAGAGATCTAATAGTCTAAGTTAATCGTATTTCTGTATTAAGTGAAAATTGTAGAGCTTGTTAAGGCGCATCTAACAGTGATAAAATCTTCAAAAACGGTCTAGTAGTTGTCAAGATATCGCTAAAACGATTATTATTTACATAGAAATTTTACATAGTTAGCCAATCATTTTTTAGTGATATCTTGACAACTACTAAACTGTTTTTAATGATCTTACTACTGTTAGATGCGCCTCAATAAGCTCTACAATTTTCACTTAATACAGTAGAGCGATTAACCAACCTCAAGCCCAAATTTCCAAAAAAATCTCTCTGGAGATTTAACAGAAAACTCTGGAATTCATCTGAATTCAAAACAGACATTATCACAGAGCTTCAAAATATCAAAGATACTAAAGATTGGGACTGGCACAAGTGTGTAATCCAATCTATAGCAAAAGCTATTAAAGCTGAACCAGC